ATGCAAGGCACGCGCTCTACCACTGAGCCATCTTCCCAGCCCCTTGGGTCCTTATTAAATCTGTATCTAATTCTATAGGCTTGGAGTGGGAATCAAAAATCAGTCAGTCAATCAATTTTTTTTTTTTTAACTCCCTGAACTGAGGCTTGAACTTAGGACCCAGATGCTGTCCCTTAGCTTTTTGGGTCTACCATTAAGCCACAGCTCTACTTCCAGTCTTTTGTTGGCTAAGTGGAGATGAGTCTTTCATACTTTCTTCCCTAAACTGGCATTGAACCACTATTCTCATATCTCAGCCTTCTGAGTAGCTAGGATTAACAGGCTTGAGATACCAGTACATAACCTGTTCTTTCTCTTTTTGTTTATCAGAGACAGGGTCTTACTATGTAGCTCAGGCTGGCCTGGAAATTGCTGTCCTCCTGCTTCAAGCTCTCCAGTGCTGAGATTACAGGTGTGCACTCATCACACCCAGCTCAAGATTACATGTTTCTACAATGTTCTAGATAATGCCAATACTGTTAATCCAAGAACCACATTTTGAGCTTCAAAGAAACTAACTAGAATCCTCATATAATACATGATGACTGCAATGGAGGTCCAGTATAGGGGAAAATCATAAGTTAGGGTGACTTCTATGACTATAGTTGAGATACTCAGGTTAACAGAAGCTCATATGGAAGGAGGGAGGTGGTGAATATCTTATTTGAGTGGCTTGCTAACTGTTTGAGTTCTTTCCTTTTTTCGTTTTTTGTGTTACTAGGGATGGAACTCGGGGCTTTTTATGCACATTGTGTAAGCATTCTTCTACAGAGCAATAGTCTCAGCCATGTAACCATTTAATTTTTCATCTGAAAGCATCAGTCCTGAACCCTGGGTAACTATATTCCAAAAATGGTTCTTAAAATACATTTCTTTTTTTCTCTCTTCTTGTAGGAGTTGCTGGAGAACCCTTGCCAGTGGATAGTGAGAAAGATATCTTTGACTACATCCAGTGGAAATACCGAGAACCCAAGGATCGAAGTGAATGAGGCCTATTCTTCCTCCCAGGCATAGCCCAGTAGGAGTCTTAATTTATTTCTTAACCTTTGCTTTGTAAGGGTCTTTGTTTTTAAATGATTGCTTTGTCCCCATGCCTAGCTTGTACAATAGTCAATAAAACTTCTTGCATTGCTATTGGATGATGTTCTTATTAGTAAATGTGTTCGCTTTGAATTTCATTGTGTTTTTGATCATAGTTTACTATGGGAGTAGTAGAAAGAAGTAAGAAATGAATGATACACTGAATGATTCCACTGCTTTTCCACCTATTTACTAATTTGGTCTATTAAGGTACTTTCAGAGGCCTGCCTCTGGAAGATGGTTTAATAATCTTTACAAACTAAGACCTTCATACATTTTTTTTTCCTCTGAGTCATAGTCTATTTTGTAATATATATTTGTAACTTAAATAGAAAATGAGATATACAGTTTATTCCTTCAGTGAAATCTATAGCTGTTTGTTGTAGTCTATTTGAAAGAACTTCTCTAAACAAACTCACTCTTGCTTAGAAAGTATGGCCTCCTAAACTTCAGACAAATTCAATGCTTGCCTTTCATTAAGGTAACTTTTACATACAAAAGGTCAAAATATAGAAGTAGAAATACTTTGAAAGTCCTCACTTTCAAACAAAAATTATATAAGTAGAAAAGCATAGTTATCAAATGTTAGTTAACTAGGGTTATCAAAATATGTGAAAATGCTTTTCACTGAAATGTTAGGTTCCCTTTCAATAAATGATGGAAACTAACCAAACAATAGGTATTCACTTTTTTTTTTTGGCTGGTCTTGGGCCTTGGGTGCTGTATCTGAGCCTCTTTGTGCTCAAAGCTAGCTCTTTACCACTTGAACCACAGATCCACTTTCATAAACAAACAATAGGGTTCTTAAGGAAAATTATAGTATTTGCTGTGATAATTTTCTCCGGTAAAATATATGAGTTCACTTTTTTGTTTTTGGTGGTACTGGGGTTTGAACTCAGGGCTTTGTACTTGTAGGTAGACATTCTACCAATTGAACCACATCATTCAGCCCTTTTTGCTTTAGTTATTTTCAGATAGATTCTTGTTCTTTGATTCTTCAACTCATGCCTTCAGAGTAGCTGAGATCATGAGAATGTGCCATTATGTGTGAGCCCTTATGTGTGACTTGGTGGTTAAGATGGAATCTTGCTGACTTTTTGCTGGTTTTGAACCACTTTTTATTTTAATTTTTTTTTGGCAGTACTATGGGGTTTGAACTTGGCCTTATACTAGGAAGGTGCTTTATCATTTGAGCCACTCTGCTTTTGGTATTGCTCATTTTTTGAGTTAGGCTCTTGCTCTTGGACTAATTTGGGCTTTGATCTTCCTATTTGTGCTTCCTGTATGGCATAGGTATGGCACATACCTTGCGGTGGAGTCTCAAGAACTTTTTTATGGCTGGGTCCCTAGTGGCTCACGCCTGTAATCCTAGCTACTCAGAAGGCTGAGATCTGAAGATCGTGGTTCAAAGCCAGCCTGGGCAGAAAAGTCCCTGTGAGACTCTTATCTCCAATTAACCGACAGAAAACTAGAAGTGGAGCTGTGACTCCAAGTGGTAGAGCACTAGTCTTGATAAGCAAAAAAGCTCAGAGACAGTGCCCAGGCCCTGAGTTCAAGCCCCATGACTGACAAAACAACAACGTAACTTTTTTTTGTCCAGGTTAGCGTTGAACCACAATTCCCCAATCTCTGCCTTCTAAGTAGTTAGAATTACAGGCTTGAGCTATCATGTCTGGCTCTAGTTTACTCAATTTTAACTTTTCAGGTTCCATCACTTTTTTCTGCCCTGAAGATACTATTAAATACCAGCCCTTTACCCAAAATGAAATATTAAACTATTAACTAGTTTACTATATGTATACAAAAACATCATGCTGTACATCTTAAGTATATAGTTTCCATTTTTAAAAAGTTTATTAAATCTTATTGAATTGCTAAATCAAAATTATTATTTTTTGTTATAGAATCTCATATTTTTTAGAATAATAGACAAAAAGCCAAGACTACTTTTCAGTCATTACAATACAGTATCTCATAATTCTCTACTTTTAGTCTAGTTCTGTTGCTAAAAGATTTGCTATTAAGAGATAGTTGCATGCTAGTGCCATGACACTAGTCCCAGTCCTCTGGAAGCTGAGGTAGGAGGTGAATTTCAGGCCAGCCTGTGTTATACAGTGAGACTTTGTCTCCAAAAACTAAAACAACAAAACATATAGAAGTGCTTTAAAATGAATGTTTGAGACCCTGCTTTAACACAAGATTATAACTTTGCATATTTTTGGCACACTCTCAATCTTGCATGTTGTCGACTGCCAGCCACCTGACTTCCACATTGTAGTCCAGGACCACAGTCACAGCGCTGGAAGATCTCGGGAGCCTGCACATTGTCTTTATGTCCTCTCCTTGAGCAGACCTGTCCCTCTAATAGGACTGGTTTACAAATTTTAGTCCAGAAGTGACGAGCACAGCAAAGTCCAGGGCCACAGTCAAAAGTTCTAAGACAGCTGTCACCTTCTTGTCCTGTAACAAGATTAATATTGACTTTTGTGGTAAATGGGAGTGATTCATGTGGGGAAGGGGATGGCTGCTGAAGGAATAAGGTCAGGACTCCAGGACTGAATGCCATGAAGCAAAAACAAGCAGCCTTCAGGGCCCTCATTCACAAGTAGAAATTCTGTCTTTCTATGAAGTCAAATATACATCAAGGAAAAAGGATTCTATTATTGAGAAAAGAAGTATCACTACAAAATTTTATTAAATGGGATTCATAGTAATGCAGAGAAATCATTAGAGAAGACAGGAATGGCCTGTTTGTGTTCAAGCATTCTGGCTATACTATATCAAAGACTGGAACTCCATGCTACAATTTTGTTTTGTTTTAAAACAATTGTAATTGATATTTTTCACAAAGTTGAAAAGTTAATGCATCTACTTCATCTTTTATGTTCTGAGGATCTAGGCAGGGAAGCTGTCACTTGTTAAATTACAGTATAAACTAGAAGAAAGGTGTGTGTAATGAAATTGAACTTGACAAGGAAGGGTTTCCTTTCTAACTAGTCCATTATTGTAACTCTTCCCCTGCCCTTGTGTTCTGCTGGATGCCTTATGCTACCTTTGCTTAGTGTGCAAGCTGCTTAGGAAGGGATTATAGACAGGACATGCTCCCTATGTTCAGGTATAGAGAATGAGCTCCAAACTGTCCAAACTGTGAGGCTGGGAGGGGAAAATGTTTTTCTGAAATAAAATGCTTAGAATGCTGATCTTACCCTTAATGCCTTGTGATTTCTTGGTATTTAGCTTCCTGTTGGGTTTGTTTTCCTCAGTTGGATGCCCGCTATTTCCTTTTGTTTCCAGGCTGTCTAGATCATCATTCTTTGTTTCCATTATTGTGGCTACATCTTCCATCGCAGTACAAACATCTGAGGGACAGCCAGAGGGAACTAGAGTTATTAACTCCAAGTTATTGAAGATATTGAAGTTAGTAACTTTTTTTTTTTTTGGTCGTGGGGCTTGAACTCTGGGCCTGGGCGCTGTCCCTCAGCTCTTCAGCTCAAGGCGAGCGCTCTACCACTTGAGCTACAGCGCCACTTCCGGTTTTCTGGTGGTTTATTGGAGATAGGAGTCTCACGGTCTCTCCTGCCCGGGCTGGCTTTGAACCGCGATCCTCAGATCTCAGCCTCCTGAGTAGCTAGGATTACAGGCGTGAGCCACCAGCGCCCGGCTTGAAGTTAGTAACTTTTTAACTTTATATGTGTGCCAAGGATTTACATGCTCATATAAGGCAAAGAAGGTAAATAATAGGATCCAAATGAAAATGGAAGAGTTCATACTATTCCAAGTTGAATCTTCAAAATCATTAATCTTCAAGTCACTGGCAAGAATTGTTGCCAGGTAGTAAGTTTATTATTACTATTTTTTGCAAGTACAAATTATTTTCACTGAAAATGGGCATCTGCATAAGTATACTTCAAGCTAACTCAAGGAGACCATGAGAAGGACCATCTGGGAGCAATACTCTAGGAGGCACAGATCTATATAGGCTATGGCTTCTGATGCTGTTCATGGGGTTGTAACTGCTCACCATTCATGCAGAGTGTCCCTGGGCAGCACATGGCACTACGCTGGCACTTTCTCCGTACCCCACGGCATGTGGTGCAGAATGGCTTCTCATCCCGGGGCGTTAGGCAGAATTTTCTGACACTGCAGTCTTTGTCTGACATACACTGTGAACCCTGTGAAGGGAAACTTGTCACATGGCTGGGGGATCCAATAAGATGTAAGATAACATTATTCTAGGCTTAGATGGAGCAGCCTAAATTTGGAGGCTGTGACATTTTAGGAAGCATCTTAATTGTCCAATGTAGTTGATTTTCTCCTGCAAAGGGGAGCTTAAACCACCTGTGAAGGGACCTCAGTTCTGCAGAGGTTTGGGCATGGAACCCAGGGCCTCACACATGCTAGGAAAGTGCTCCGTCACTGAGTCACATCCCTTGTCTTAACTCGAATTTAATTTTCTTATGCTTTTGGTGAATATGGAAGGAAAATAATTTTCTATGCATGTCTTATAGATGACAGATTTTCTAAACTTAAGAACAGTAGATGTTGTGCTACATGTAAGTAAGAATTGGCATTGATAGTATTGCCATTTAATTTTTAATGTAGTGAATCTCATCTAGCATTGCATCCCTTACTGGATGATCCTTTCCCAGATGAATTGTTCTTTGATATGTATATAGTATAATAGTTAAATATACACATACACACATGAATGTCTATATGTATGTACGTATATACATAAACATATATATGTAGGCAAGCTAACTGACTTGAAAAACCGCTTTGCTGTTTTAATGTGTGATTACTGAGGCAACTGGATTATACCTAGATGCCTTTTCCATTCCTACTCCTATCAGTTTTCTATGAGATAAGCTATTTCGTGTATTAATTTGAATGACTTACTAAAATCTTAATTTGGCCCTCACTATACAGACCACATTCATCTCCTAACCACAAACCACAGCATCTTAGCCCTGACTGCACCTACCTTCCAGGCTCCTTGCACATCAGCAGGGCTCTTGATGTTGTTGAAATCCAGAACCAGAGCTCCCAAGGGCAAGTAGAAGCAACTGAGACCAAGCAAGGCCACCAGCACCATCCTTTGTCACCGGGAGCTCCTTGATGTTCCCAGTACTCTGCAAGATGCACTAAACCTACAGCCCAGCCTTCCCAAGCTGGAACCAGGCAAGACACCTGAAAAGGCTTTTTCTGAAGTAGGATGAGCCCGTCTGAGAGCAGGTTCCTTCTGAAACTATTTATAGACAGATGTGCCCCCAGTTCTTTTCTCCCTCCCCCTTTGTTTCCTTCCTCTTTACCCAACACAGGCTTCAACAAATCCCTTCAAATCTTTGATCAATAGTTCAAAACAAGCATTCAATAGAAGGAGACAAGAGGCAGGGCTACAGCAGCTTCTCCTCCAGGGCGGAATCCCTCTTAATTATCCCATATCAAAGTTAGTTCAAAGGGCTCACAGGAAAGCAGGATGTCTGTATCAAAGGCAACTCTGATAATCACCTGCATTTTGGACCTTCAATAATTCTTTGGGGGATTATCTAAGATCTGTTTTCATAGCTAATTGTACTCAAAGAAAGAATGAATGAATTGTATCAGCCAACATGCAGAAGATGCCAAAAACTAATAAGTTATCAAATCTAAGAAACTTGCAACTGCTTCCGATAGTGAGGGCAGATAGAAAAAAGAAAAATGCCTTCCAATTACCTCTGGCATCCAGGTATAAAGGTCTTAATAGCTTAAGAATTGTGCACATAATAGCACTCATTCTGATTCAGTGGCAATTGGGAAAATACTCTCCTTATAATAAACATTGAACTGTTTGACTTTAGGATTATTTAATTAGAAAAATAACAGAATATATAATAATTTCATTTTATTTTTTAAAATATTTCAATAAACTTTTAAACATATAAAGGCTAAAGATTGTGCATATTAGTAAAACACATAAGAATTTCTTTGATAGTGGGGACAACCATAGAAAGTGCATTTTATATAAATTTATACAAACTTCATATATGTAACTTGTTTTGCATAATTTTCAATTGACAAAAGAACAACGTTTTAGGTTCTACCTGATTTCAGATGAAATTTTGTGCATTTCTAATTTTCTTAACTTGAATTTCTGAAAGCTTCTACCTTATCCCTTGTGTCCTTCCCTCCCCTCCTTTTTCTTTCTTTTTCTTCTCTTCCTCTCCTGTCCCCTCCCCTCCTCTCCTTTCCTCACAAACTATAGCTGAATGTCTGAGGATCTAGAGTCTAAACAGAAGATGTGGCTGGGTAGAGGGTCCTCTATATTGTGATAAGCACTAAAATAAAGGTATTCATCCAGGATTGGAGGATTATAAGTGAAAGGATCCTTCATGTCCATCCCAGGGGACCACCTGGAGGCAGGCAGGCACAGAAGAACGATTATTATAAGGTTTATTAGAGGAGCCATATTTCCCTGAAGAGGAAGCACACGGCATCCATTCCTATTCAGGTAGCAGAAGGGTCTGGGGGCAGCAAGTGAGATAGGTGCATACTTAGGTGGGTCTGGGTGGAGAGAGGGATTGGCCAACTACTGTATGGTGAGGAACCTTGAGGGTCGAATATACAGTAAAACCCCCATAAGTTTTTACATGCTACATGAATGTAGAAATAAATTTATTTACAAGATCTTGTGACTTTAGGGAAGTTATTTTACCTTTCTAGACTATAATCCCTTCATCTGCAAAATATGCTTAATCCACCTATGTATGTCAGCTTTGTAGCACTGTGACAAATACTAAGATAATAATTTCAAAAGAGGAAAGATTAGTTTTGGCTTGTATGCTCAGATATGTCAGTCTGTAGTCACTTGGCTTTATTCTCTTGGGGCCTGTAACAAGGGAACACATCACGATCATGAGCAGGTCTCAGAAAAAGCTGCTCACCTCATGGTGGCCAAGAAAAGAAGAGTGACAGAAAGGGTGCAGGATTCCACATCCCCTTGAAGGCATGTCCTTATAACCTTCCTTCCCTTCACTAGCCCCCATCAAGCCAAGGACCAAGTCTTCAACACATGGCTCTTTGTACTATTTCATAACAATATTTTGAGGGTTTGATATATGAATATGTATTCAGGCTGGTAGGTAACAAGCACTCATAAAACTATAAACAAATGTTTCATCCATTTTCCATGCCAGAGCTTTCTACATCACATAAATTTTAGTACTTTGCAAGTAGATGGCCCTACTCTGGCAGGCCCTTGATAATGTTTAATATCTCCTCTAACCTTGAAACTTCATTGTACATTGAGGCTGTTTCCGACCTGAAAAGGCAGAGCAATTTGGAGGAAAGTGTGTATGTGAAGTAAGTACTCTCTGAAAAATAACTATGTTTTCAAATCTGCCAAGGTTGTTTGCCCTAAAATCGCAGTGTTCCTAAGTCCAGTCTTTCTCAGTTGTCTGGGGATTAAAAATAGTGGAAACATGGAAAGAAGATGACAGGGAAGGGAGAGGAGAGCTTTATAAGTGTTTCTGCTTAATATCAACATTTTCGCCTCTGACCAGTCCAGGAAAATTGTGCAAACAGCTCAGCCAAGGTCCTGAGTGAGGGCCCTTGATCAGCAAGCAGTACCCTGAACCATGGCTGCTGCCTTTTCTAGAGTCATTTGTTTTTTCAAGGCTGTGAGCTGCAGATCAAAGGAAGCCCCCTTCTCCCGTAGAGTTTTGGCTGACATTTGCCATTTTGGATGCCCCCTGGCAAAGATTATGGGTGAATTGAAACTCTCCAACTGATCATCTTAGATTTGTAGTGAACACCTGGACCAAAGGAAGACTACAATTGGGTGTTATTGAGTAAGCTCAGGGGGAATGAAAATTCCCAAAGAAATTTCCACAGGTCCCGGTTTCAGCACTGTAGGTCTGATTCCACCCGGGGTGTCTCCTGACCCAGGTAAGAATTGCAGATTGTGTTTAAGAGGTAACACCTGTATTCTCCCAAATTACAGCTGCTGTAGTTCAAGTCAAAGGCAATGTGTCAGAACTAATGATTTATATTCTTAGGAATGGAAATTTTTATTTGTTATGGCTCCTCTGTCAAAGCCAGTTTGAGTTCCATCAATTTTGCTTTTCTTAAAAATCAAAGTAACGAGGAACAGATCTTTGGCAGATCTTTGGCAGAATCTCACAGGAAATGTTCAATAAAATCAGAGATGAGAAGGGACATGTTGGTGGGAGCAGACAAAGATTGCAGGATATAATCACAGAGTTGTAAGAATTACCAGTCAGTTACCTGGCAGGGGTCAGGAGGTAAGGTAAGCCATTTGCAAGCTGAGGTGTGGGGCAGCATCTGCCAGCATGGAATGGGGAGCAGGAACCTGGGTCTAGTCTCCATCACTGCTGAGTGGTATTGGGGAAATCTTGTCACTTCTCAGTCACAATTCCCCCTTCCTTTAGTGGCTTCTCAGACTTTGGTAGGCTCAAGATGTGTCTCCCTTCGTCCTGCATTGTCTAGCTCCAGAGGGCACTGTTATGACTGTATTCTCTGTGAACAGCATTACTGTCAACTTGTTCATTATGGTGCTGCCAAGGACCTTCCTCCTCTAGCAGAGACAGCCTCAGAGCTCTCCACTCTCCATATATTTCATTGAGGACTGCAGCAGGTTTCCTGGACCTTCTTCCTCAGGATAAGTCTGCTTTTTTGTTTATAACAAAGTTAGATGGTATTTTTTTTATAAACCCTAAGGGCCTCCTATGGATAATCCTGCCATACTTTCATCTTAGGCACTTTGCCCTCTCCTGCTCTTCTGTGTTGTGCCGTACAATAAGTAGAATGTGTGTGTGTGTGTGTGAGAGAGAGAGAGAGAGAGAGAGAAGGAGTGCAGGGGTGGGGTGGGGTGGGGCAACATGCTATAGAAAGGCAAGAATAAAACTAATGGTGTCTCAATATGTAATAGAAGACACTGGCAAGAGGAAAGGTGCATCTGAATAGATACGTGTCGATGCTAACCTGTGAATGGTGTCCTTGCATTGATGTCACTGTATGTCCCAACATTCTACAGACTATGTAAAAATGTGATTTTAAAAGTGAATTATAGTTACAATTTTAGAACAATTCACAGTTGACTTTTATTTATTTTTTTTTTTTGAGACAGGATTTCACTGTGTAGCTAAGGCTGTCCTGGAATTTTCATTCCTTCTGCCACAGCCTCCTGAATGCTGGAATTACAGGCATGCTGTCTCCATGTTTTTGCTTTTATTTTATGGTACCAAGGCTTAAACTCAGGGCCTATACTTGCCACACAGGCGCTCTGCTCCGAGCCACACCTCTAAGCCTTCCCCTATTATTTTGATTTTTAATGACTTGAGCCTTTTTCTCCTTTCTCCCTTTCTCTCCCCCTCCCTCACTTTCACTTATGTTCTCATGCTTTTAATCCAAATGTTCTTTTAAATTTGATGATATTCAGGTAAAAGAAATGGCAGCTAAAGGTCAACTCTGCACCTGATGCCCTGTGCTGTCTGGGTGGTGGCCTCTCCAGTGACCTGATCTGTCTTCAAGAATCTTCTTTTTTGGGGGGGAGGGGGGTCCAGTCGTGGGGCCTGAACTCTAGGCCTGGGCACTGTCCCTCAGCTCGTCAGCTCAAGGCTAGCGCTCTACCACTTGAGCCACAGTGCCACTTCCAGCTTTTTTCTTTGTGCCTATGTGGTGCTGAGGAATCGAACCCAGGGCCTCAGGCATGCAAGGCAAGTGCTCTACCACTAAGCCACCTTCCCAGCCCCTGTCTTCAGGAATCTTCAAGTCCAGGTCCACTGAGTGAGAAGGTGAAGGGACTGTGGAGGAGGGGTAGAGAATGGTCTCCATAGCAACATTCTGACTTTGGGGAAATGGAAGAGAGAGTAGTGACACTGGTGTTCCATATACTCCTGGCACCTGTTTCAGGGATGAAGCAAGAGGAATCCTCTAGGGCTGCAGCTTCTTCCTCAGTGAGAGCAGGTTCAGCTATCTGTTGACCTAGACCCCAAGATGAAGCATAAACTGAATATAATGGTTTTCCTAAAAAAGAGGTGTGAATCCTATTAGGAAACCCTAAATTTCCCATTGTCCCAAATTCCTTTTTTTTTT